TTACTTTTTATAGATTCTGAGTGGACTGTGGAGTTCGTTTTAGTTCTACAACGTGTTGTTATTGTTGTTGTTTTTTTATGCCAGTCATCACATTTTGAAGTGCGAAATTTACACAACAACAAAAAAATATTTTTTTTATAGTTTTATTTATAAAGGAATAATTAATGAGACTATTTGATATTTTTCACTTAATATCTGTTTCAGTTCTTTTTATAAATATATAGTAGGTTGTGGGTAGGTATGTTGATAATATTTTTATGTCTTAGTTAAAAAGCTTGAAAATGTAGTGTACAACTTTATATAAGGTTCTTATATAAATTAGGTTGTAAATTGTTCTTGCAGAGGTATAGTACATTAAATACATTTTGAAAAAATTTTTGATTGCTTGAAATTTTTTAGAGAAATTCGTTTAAGAAAGAAAAATTGTGAATTTTTTTAAAGTAAATAAGATATAGGGGGAATCGACCACTGATCACTTAGCCTGTAAAATTTAGATTTTTCCAATCTCCTCGGATGTTATAACCAAATTGCTTTTTAAAGCTTTTCATTTTTGTATAGGTATTTCAATAATCATAACTATCATATTTATTTTTGTTATTTATTATTTGTTCATTGTTTTTTCTACAATAACAATTATTATATATTACACTTATGAATAATATAAAATGTAAAAAACTTTTTTATACAACAAGAAAATTCACAAAGTTTTTAATTTTAAATACTCATATCCTTAAAAGAGTAGATACCGCATTCAAGTCATTAATTTATAATTTATTGTAGTTGCAGAAATTTAAAATTATAAGCTTTGTTTTATTGCTCTGTGTTTGTATAGTTGGTATACCAATACAAAGGTATTTCTTCCATAAAAATAATTTCATGGAAAAGTCAACTTTGGAAATGATGTGACTTGTCTGGTTGTTGCGAAATAATGTAAGTTAATTTTAACTTTTAAGTTATCCTAAATAATAATGAGTAAAATACAAGTCAAGTTAACATCAAACTAGTAAGTTAAGTTAATAAGTCAAAAATAGCTTAACTTTTAACTTATAACTCGTTAATGCTTGCCTTGTTTCTTACTGTTAAAATAGTTTAACAGTTAATGGAATTATTATATATTGTCTACCTACATTTGGTTTTACTATATTTTACATCTACACACACTATAGCAGACATATTTTAAATTATAGTTATTATTTTATTATTATGCCATTATGGTTATTCACAGTTAATTAGCTGACATACCTTCCCCACCTTTATGTATATTTTACATCCAGTATTCTTCTAGTTAATACATACTAACTCTATTTATAAGCTTATTATATATCACATAGGTACCTAATGTTTAGAACAGAAGCAAAAGATATTTTGATATTTAATTATCGCCTGGTTGCTTACAATAATATACGAGGGTAATACCAATACACCATGATATATAAATAAAACCGTAAAATTAAAAAAATACATGGTATTATTTTTATAATTATATTGGTAGGTATGTAATAACAACAGCCGATTGTTGTAAAACATTTGTAAAGAATTATGATAATTTATTGTAATAAGAACAATAGCCAAAATTAATTCAGTTTAAGTATAATGTTGTAATAATTTTTTTTATGATATTTTAACAAAATCATATAGAATTTATTAAGCATACTAATATTTTTATAATTATGTTTATTTCAACGATCTTTTTAAATGTATACGATTCTTAAACAGATTTTTTTCACAAAACATCTTGAAAAATATTTTTTGAGTAATGATATTATATTATAATTAAGGTAATAAAACTATATTATTGACTTTTTTGTAACAGGGTGATTTAATTTTAGTCCATGGACGGTTACTGTTAACTGGTATAGTATAAAAACGCCCAATAATGTACAAAAAAATATGGCATGAAACAGCGAAACTTGGATCCATTTTTAAATTTAAAAAAAAATGGATATAGTAAATATTTTTATTCATACAGTATATATATATACCACACAATAATAATTTAGTTGTAATAATATTAATTTCTAGTTAAATATTGAACCACAATATTTATTTTAAAAATATTTGTAAACTTTTCTTGCAAAGAAATTATAGTTATTAGTCAATAGTCATCATACATCGATTTAATTAATAATTATTAATAACGTCAATCTAAATCATTAATATATTATAATATTATATCAGCTGGTGATTCATTTAAGTCTATCCACTCATTATTTAAAAGAGTTTTAACTTTTTTTACAATATCTTTTATATAATTTGATTTCATTTTAAAACAACATTTCTGATAATAATATATTTGTCACTATAACACAACTATATAAATCGTTATCTGTTTTTGAGTTTTTAATTTTTTTAAATGATGCCATAATTTTTTTATTTCATAATCCAAATCAGAATATTATTCGAAGTACTTTAATGTATATACAAACCAAGCTTCAAATAAGTTGCTAATTGTTTATTACTTATAAGTATTTAAAGTTTAGATTTGCAAAGTAGTGGACAACATATTAAGAGGTACCATTGTACCACTACTCCGATTGCAGATCAACGATAAAAAATAGTAAGAAACATACATTTTTCAGAAATGTTATTTTGAAATTACATTAAATTATGTAAAAAATATTTTCAAAAAAGTTGATATTTTCAAAATAATGAATGTTGACGCCTAAATGGGTCTTTCTGTATGCATTAGGTAGATATATATAATATATGTATAGTATATGTGCGATGTTCCCAATAGTATGATATGAATGTTTGAATTCGTTACTTAGCTGCTCCTTCAAACTAAAACCTAAAGAGAACTGTAGGTTGTAGGTACATTTATAAGTACCGGTAAATTATTAACATTAAATCCTTTCAGTTTATTGGGATAATTGTTTTTATAATGTAAATATTCCCTGGGTTTTTTGTTGTAATGTAACGATAAAATCTATTATCGCATCATAATGGTTTATTGTCTATAAAAATACGAGTATTTATAATTTTTCGTAAATTATTTTTGTTCTATTTTTGGGTACTACGTGTTTCTTATAGTGTTATCGCTCGTACAGTTTAAAAAAAACACAACGTATAAATAGAGAACTTGCATTTATTTTCAATATTTTTAATAATTTATTTGTTTTATATAAATATGTAATACTTCTTTCATCAACTCAGGTAATATTATGTGAAACAGTTTTTTCTAAACTTAAGTTAGTTAAATCAAAATTAAGATCTACTATAGTCTATAAATCAAGAACATTTAACTCCATCAATGCTAATGAATATAGAGAAAGATATAGAGATTGATAAAGAACATTTATTAATTGCATCACTGGTTCATCCGATACATTTAAAAGATTACTTACGATATGAATAAAAAAAATGTATATTAGTATAATGATATAACGTGATATATCATTTATTTGTTATTGTAAATACAATTAACCAAGTCTGTTAATTAGTATATCAGGGAATTTAAGGCAATTTAATTAAAAAAGAGTAAGTAAAACTTAGTACCTAATAAAAAGTATGTAGCAGCCGGTCGCGGTTCGATCCTCGGCCACCGGGCGGCATTTTTCTCCGGACAAGTCGCGGTGACCGGAGAACAAGTGCTGCCATCCCCCACCCCCGGGGAATGGTAGAAATCTACGGGTGCCCCATTCGAAATTCTGCCAAAACAAACACACACGTGTTCCCCCCTACCGTACCAAAAACATACAAACCATCAATACAAAAACCTACAGTACCTACTAATAGCTAATGGCCACAGTTGCCGGGCTCAGGATCAAAAAAAAAAAAAAGTATGAAATTCAAATTTGTAGAAAATACATCTATTTTTTTAAGTTAAAAGAAATATTGTATACACATTAATTGTAACTACTAAATAATAGTTTAATTTTAAATATATATTTTCTATATGTTGAGTATGAAGTCTAGTAATTATAAATTCAATAATAATACATTAATTAATATGCTACAAAAGTATTCATGTATATATTTTGTTTGTAAGTATGATAGGTACCACGAAACATGACTTTCATAATTTCAACCCAATTATAGGTAAATTTTGATAAAAAATGAGGCCTTAAAAAAAAATTCCTGCCTAGGCCTTTCATATCCCAGGCCAACACTGGGTATATGTATGTATAAATAGGTATCTACTTGGCTACTTAGGTATCAAGATACTATTAATATAAAACTCAATATAACTTAAATTTACCTTAGTATAAATGTGGTTCATTTCAGGAAAAGCATTTGTTTTTTATTGTTCCATGTGTCACAGTTTGTATTACAATTTACAAGTATTGAATCTTCAGACTTCAATTTCAATTTCAATTTTTATTTGGTAATTTTTTGCGTTTTCTGATAAACACATTCACATACTATTATAAAATATTTTTAGATATAGATAGTTTGATATCTACGTACTGTAGTCTGATGTATCTATCGGACTTTGAGTGACTGTAGCAATATTTTTTTGTTTTTCAGTATTTTGACTGTTATGTATCATGGAAATGAATGTAGAGTATTGTAGTATCTAGAAACTAAAATTATTTGTAAAAGATCGAATTATTGATTTTTTTAAAGATGGAATTATCACCACTTTGAGTAAGCAGATGAGTAGAAAACTCAACAACTATGTTGTGAAAATTAATTAGGTTTTTGTAAAAAATATTAAGTTACCTATTATTACTTCGACTCTTAACAATTCCCTATTCATTAATCAGGTACAAATGTACAATATCGTAAATCAAATCCAATTAATGCTTTAATTATTTTAATTGTTTCCCACAAATGAAAAAAACAAAAAAAAATTAGCTTTCAATTCAAGATACCATAATGATGTAGGTAGGTATTATTAAATTTGAATTTTGAATATAATAAAAAAATTCTTCATTTATAATATGAGAACCCCTGAAATCCATGTACCAACCATGTACGTTCCGGTGTTCATATTGTAGCCTGTAGATTCTATCATATCACAATAAATTGATAACGGATTCTTGTTTTTTTTTGTTATCAGTATTTACTATTTAATTTAAGTGTTTTGAATTTAAATAATTTTTAAGTACTTACCTGCGTTGAAATTTGTGTTAAACGTTTATAAGACATTTGTTTTGGCAATTTGCTTTTTAATTTTCATATATTTGTTCATACATTTAAATTCACTTTTAGTCTGTTACATTCTTGATTAAATTATATTGGGATTATGGCTGTTCCGAATGAGTTAAGTTTGGAATCCGTCCGTGATTTCATGATTATGAACGATGGTAGAGTTACTAATCATGACCTAGTGACTCACTTTAAATATTTTCTAACAAATCCACAAAATAGAGGTAAATCCATAAGTGTTACAATTATTGTAATAATATAGTTAGTATTTACTTATATTTTTCTTTTCTAGCTGAAGCAAGACATCAGTTTAAAGAAATTGTTAATACTGTGGCCACTGTTATTTGTGGAGAAGATGTAATACAAAGATTTAGTCAGAATTGTATAATTGTACACTAAGATTACTAATTATAATTTTTAGGGAGAAAAGTATTTAATGCTTAAACGTCGCTTTCGAGTAGCTGGTTGTATTGGTTTATCATTAGAGCCCTCCATGAGCACAGCTTCTTCTCTAACTTCACTAACCTCTTATCCTGGTTTATCCTCTGTACATCACTCATTATCACAAGATTCACTTATTGACCCTCCTAGATTCCAACAAAGATCACCAATGGTATCACCATCGGCTAGGTATGAACGACATATAATTAAGTGTTCTACGCAATTTGTTAATTTTTTAATTTATTTTAAATTTCATTCTGTAGACAACCCCCACCTTATCGTCCACCACCTTCTCCTATTGCATCGCCTAAAGAATGCTCACCAACTAAAGAAGCTGCACCGCCTGTTCCTCCTAGGCGCAGAAGTTCTGAAAAAATTAAATTGATTGAATTAAGTGACAATGTTATAGTAAATTCTAAGGATAATTATGTAAGTAAACTGTGTTTATATTTTTTTTTGTTAACTCTTTTTACGGATTTCTTTTCAAATGGTTAATTGTAGCACAGCCGGATTATTTTGCTTATCTTTTTTTATGTTTGTGTGTTTTGCTTATTCTATTATTATTTTGTGTTTTGCTTTTGCGTGTGTGTAATATATAGAAAGAAAACGATCAACCTCAGCAGCCTCAGATAAGTGTAAAAGACAGAACACAAAAATTTAACCGGATAGCATCTGAAAATGCCTTACACTTAGCTAGTCAACTACCATCGCCAAATAAGAAGAAAATAGATAAGGTAATTTATAATAATTAATTTGCTTGATTTATGTTCTATATTAGTTTTATTTATTAAGTTAGTTAATATGGAATGAAGAGAATTCATGTTTTACAAATTTAAATTTGTTGCTTTTTTCTTTATTTGATGAGGTAATATTTACATTTTTACTTTATTAAATTGCATTAGAATTGTATATTAGCAATTGATTTTACTTTAAATAACAGAATTTAAAGTCATTATTCAAGGAATAATTCAATTTTTTAATACCCCAAAAAATAAATATGTGGGTACATATTTATAAAAAAATATAGGCATCTATTAACTTAAATATTTTAAAAGAACAGTGGCTAATTAATATGTAAGCTATAAATTATAGTTGGGCTTCGGTTATTCAGTCATTGATAATCATGTAGCCATGTGGAAAGGCAGAATTATGATTCAATAAAACTATATTCGTTTTAGACAGAAAGGTTTATGGTAAATGATATTTAGTTTTGATCCAAATTTATAATTGTTGTCCTAATAATTATTTATTTTACTATAATTACAAATAGCAAATATATAATTATATAGGTTTTATTTATTATTTTAGTACTCGTGTAGTATGATACCTACTGTAAAAAGCTACCTACCCATTAAAAAAGTTTATGGGTGTTTATAATTTTTACATACTGATTGATAAATAATACCAATTTATTAAATTTAAATGTACTTAATGTATTGCTGATGATCATCATTGCCAACTATTTTAATACATTATTTATTGTTAGGTTAGGTAGGTTAGGTTAGGTTTTGCTTTGTTTATTTCATCCCAGAAAACTTAAAATAAATTGTCGTATTGTGTTTAAATGAGCCACTACCATCCCTATTTTAATTGGCGGTATAACAAATCTGTTACTTAACACAGCAAGGTGGAAGGACCCAACACCGACTAAAATAATTTAATATCCAAAAGTATGTTATTGTGGATTTTGGTGGATATTTACCGATAATTTATTAGATAATTACCAGTATAATAGCTATTAAGCTATTATAATATTATTTGAATGCTATAATAATTTATAAGATGTTATTTATCCAATAACTCAAGTCTTAGGTCTTTTACTTTTCTGTAATAAAATTAAACAAAAATATAACATATAAGAGTAAGTATGTCATATTTTCCGGTGGGTAGCATACTGCATTTGCTCAGTTTTTCGGTAGGTAGCATACTACACAAGTACCATTATTGTGTAAATAAAGGAGTATAAAGCTTTAACCCTATTAAGTCCCTGATATCCTTCAAGTGAGATGTATGGTGACTGTATTGCTTGTAAAATACAATTTCACCCATCAACATTTTATGGATTACACCTTATTAGAGAATCTATAAAAAGTAATAACTTTTATTTAAAATTAATAAATAATAAAACAGGTTTCTGGGTAGTTAGAAGTCTAAGATAATATGTGTAAACAATACACTAAACAATTTTTTTGGTAAGTATATAAATTACTAAATTATTTTAACTTTAGGTGGAATAATTATTAAGATTACTTAATTCACTTTACCTAATTCATATTATGTTTATAAAAATAATAATTCATTAGGTACTGATGTGTATATATAGTATGGCAGTATGCTACTATGTATGTATGATGTATGTGTGTGTCTAGCAGCCTAGATCGGGGGAACTAGCAAGTAGTAATAGGTTTTGAAATTATATATTTTTTTTAATCATTTAAAATTATTAAAAAAATTTAACTGCCTAAAAAATATTAATTATACTTAATGCATTAACTCATGTCACATACATTATGTATTTACTTAATTGTTAAAAACTATTCATATTTTATTATTTTTGAAGATAAAAACATCACTACCTAGTTTAATATTTAATATTTATAAGATTCTAACTGAATTATACAATTTAGAATTTGATGAATGTTTTAAATTTTATTTTAGATAATTTTCATAGTCTGTTGTTATATTTTGTTTGTAGTTTGATATTCCAAACATCACAATTAATAAGTAAAATTGAAATGTTTCTCTGCGTGTCCACTGTCCAGTAATAAATATAAGAATGTATTCTATTTTAGTAGGAATACTTGAATAACTTTTACAAAAACTTCGACTATATTATTGGTTGAGTATTAAATGTTTTAATCATAATATATCTGCACCCTGTTCATCAGAAGTTCAAATTTTATTTGGTTTGAATAACACAAAGAAGTTACTCTTTTTAAACATTCGGCTAAGGTCTCAATATTTATTACAGGCTTATGCCTTATAATGTATATATTTTAGATATTTTTGTCTTAATATTGTGTCGGGTCTATATGACAAATTAATATTTCTTTTGGATATTTGCCAACCATCGAGGTATGTATGTAGATTGTAGGGTTTAAATTTCTATGTGATCATTCGTCTTTTTCTGAACGTTATCCGCCTCGGTGTGTGTGTAGTCTCAAAAACATCGTCACAATAATGGTTGACTAAAAATTACTGCATCCGTATAAGTATATACACGTAATGCTCTCATTAAAAATGAAACGGTTTCCTCTCTATATAAACATCGGGTTAGTTAAAAGAAGAAAAAAATCGTAAACATGTATACAATATATAATATAGTTTATTATGAAATCAGTGAGAGCCAGCTGGGTGGGTGGGCATGGGGGACGATGAGCTATAAATCAGCCAAGCCAAACCATATAAAACATACCCCAATGCGCACCCGTAAGTTGCTGCCACCGGCTGCCACTCTAACCCGCGCGTATACAGTGTTTGTGTCGCACTGTCGCATATAGGACGTTCCGTCCGGTGTCGGCGCACTTGAGCGCTTGTTACGTTTTCTGCCATCATATTATGCGCCATCGTTCTATATATATACGGTATTCCGAATTAATAGCATACGAATTTGATATTCAAAACAGAGAGTCGGCTGCATGGTCGTTATTATTATTGTTATAAATTATTATAATTATTATTATTGAGCGGGCGATGAGCTTTCCAGTAAATTTTCCGTTTAACATGACCAACGACTACCGTTGTTATTCATAATATTATATACTGCTGCACGCCATCACTGCCATTGCCGTCGACGCTGCTGCCGGCCGGTGACACATTATGGCAAAGTCCACTCCCAACATTCGGTTTATATAATTTATTGGGCAAGGGCCACAGCCACTGTTATTTATTGTCCACGTCATGGCCACCTAGAGCGGATAATTTTAATTAATTAAATACACCGCGGGACTTAATGAACTCGATTGAAATTTGGGTCGGCGGGGGTAGAGAAAAGTGTAACATTCATTAGTATAGAGCTCCACACCACCGCCACCGTCACATTATATATACGCATATATTTTTTTTTACAGAAAAATACCCATTGTAATCATTAAAACGTGTATTCCCGAGGATATGTGTGTATATTTTTTTCTGTTTGTCGAGAGACATATATACATAACTGGCTTTGAATATACATAACTATATATACTCTCTTCATAATAAACAGTAACGTGCATTAATTTTGGCTAATAAATTACTTTCTACCAATAAATAACAATTAAGTTAAATTAAACTTAAAAAAAATTTTAAAACATATAAACACTGAATTATTATTATTTTTAATGAAACTATGGTTCTTTGGCTGCCATAAAGCTGTCTCTACAGATAATGGATTTTTTTTCTACTCGTTACATCTTGTTCTAGGGAGATATAGTTTGAATGTTTGATCTAATGAGTATATTTAAATGATTTAAATGCTAAACCCTTCAGTCGGTTGCTAATATTATAATTACTGACTTAGAAAACAAACAGTTCATACTGATTTTACTATTACTATTTTTTACTTTTATACTACCTACCAGGTTCGTCCTACATATTACAATTTACTTACAAATTTCATATTTTATCCTAATTTCTGAATCCTTAATTTCTGAGAAATTAAACGTAATATTTATTTATATGTACTGAATTATCATATATTTTATTTTATGTGTGTATAATGTATATATTACATTTCAAAAAATGTTAAACAACGTTTCTTAACGCTTTGTTATTAAAGTAGTTGATATAACAATTAACAATGATTAGTCATATTTAAACGTTAAACATTAAGATATGCAATATCTAATGATTCAAACCATTATTTTGATAATTATATGTTTCTGTTTTTATAGTTTTATTAGATAATGTCATACGTAGCGTATGGCTTATTTCCGAATAAAATTAAACATAATATTATAGTTCATTGTATGTTCTAAGACGTGTTTAATCAATTATTCATTTTATTGTCTGTAACTATATATTATATTTGGTAAAAAATTTAATTAACTTACAAAATATGTGGTGGAGTTTATTTTTTTTGAATAAGTGGTTCTCGTTGAGACACAAAAAAACCGACTTGAATGTAATACAAAACAAATACGATGATGAAAATATGTATCTAAATAATTTGAAAACAAAAATATGCAGTTTGGTGAGTTACTGAAATGCATAAAAAATAAAAATATTATTTACTAGGTACATAACGGATAATCTTAGGTTACAAAATAACTATTATTGAATTTTTGTAAAATAATGTTTTATGAATCATATTACTTATATTGAAAAATGTATATAGTTACCTACAGTAATACATTTTATGTATACATTGTAGTATTTGTGTTTATACCATAGTATAAAGTAGCTTGAGTACATATAGAGCTAAATATTTTTCGATCTCAATTTTTGTGGTAGATATAAAATTATTTATTCTTGAATAAACATATTTTTACTGTGGTAAGGCATTATCATGACATTTATTATTTTAAGTTGGAAAGATTAGGTTTTTGAATATTCCCACGGTCCAATGAAAAATATTAATAATTTTTAAGTTGTAAGAATAAGATATGTCGTTAAGAAAAAAAATGAATTGCGAACAAAATATGGTTTTAAAATTGTCTCATCAATGTTAATAATTGTCTAGTTTTATTAACTTTCTTATATCTTCTGTTTATTTTCCTTGCAATTAGAGAACATCTATGTTACTTACAACTAACATTAGGTGCATCTTCGGGCGGTTGTTTGGTAACAAATTGTCTACATTATATGATTATTATAGGTATGTATAGGTGTTTGTGTGCTTGTATATACAATGTTGCTTTGTTGTTTATGATTATTATTGTTATTATTGCGGCCGTCATTGGTATAGCGTGTATTTTAATAAATATACATCCATTATTATACAATTTTAAAGAATTTGAGTATTCCATATAGACTCATTTCGCTTATCAGATATTTTTTTTGTAACATTCAACCTAATGGAAATGCTACTGAAACAAATCTTAAAATTTTTTGTGCATTTTATCCAACTTCTTTAATAGAAAATTGGCAAATATTCAAAACACAAAATGTTTTTATTACATTTAATACGAACGAGGTTTGATAGACAAGATTTTTTCGGTTTTGACAAATTTTTGTTATTAAATTAAAAATAAATAATCTTGCCATTACATATAAATTATCAAAACGAAGTTTTCGGGAAAGATTTATGTAATTCTTAAAACCATTTGACATCAGACGGCTGAACAGCTTTTCAACTATATTGTCCGTGATTTACGGTCATGAGCAATTATTTTATTTTAAATTACCTCTTTCCCCTCTCCTATTTATAGGTGCTATTTCGTAATAAATTACGACCTGAACAATGTTGGTATAACAATAAACAAAATCAATACTTAGTAGATATCTTGTTGGGGTAAATTCAAATCGAAACCTTATTTCAATATTAAATTTATTTATCAATTGGATTACAGTTCAGTTTTACTGATTTTGCTTACAAGGTGTTTTGAAACGCGGAATATCAATTCGTTATAGTGTTACCAGCATTGTGCGTGTTTTATTGGCTGTGCGAAACCTTATGATATATTGATTCTGTCAATATTGCATGAGGGGATTATTTGGGCGACGGATATAAAATTCAGATAATTTGTGCATTGTGCACATAAAGAAGCCATTTAAAACAATAGAAGCCAAACATTTATCGTCTCCAACAGTGTTCAATACTTTTAAGAACGCTATTTATGTAAATTTGATGTAGGTAAAATAATTATCTTCTTGAAATTAAAACTATCATCTATAACAACATTACTATTAACATAATTTGAATAATTAATGGATCTCATAATTAAAAAAAATTAAGCTATAATGTGATTTAAAAATAAATTTAAATTTGTAAACTATCATTTCCTCTAAAAGCTTAACGTGACACGTATTTAAAATCTCAACACCATATAGATCGTAATATATTTATTTTATAGTAAAATATTAACACTTTATTAAAGATGTGATTATCAAGTTGTTGGTTAATTTAAACTAATAATCTGTTTCAAAGCGATTCATTTTTACTTTTGAAATATTTAATTATTACATAATACACAATTGTGCATTTTAAACAATACATTTTTTGATTATATCATAGGACTATCTTTTATTATTCTAATTGATATTTATGCAAAATTATTTACATTGTATGCCTAGTATTAAACATATTCATGGGTTTGATCAAAATATTGAACCATAAACGGTCAGACATTTTAACCATATTTTAACTTTTTTAACCTATTTTAAATGTACTGTATAGTAGAAATATAATTACTAGATGTGATAAGTTCACATATGGTAGTTCGTGAATTCAGTGGTTGAGTGTTAAATTTAATATATTATACTTTAAAAATAAAAATGCAGGTAAAAAACCTTTTATACTGTAGGCTGATAAAAAAAATATTATTTTAATTGTAGATATTTTGTACAGTAGGCTAGATATGTAGTAGATTCGATTTTAATCAAAAACATTAGGCTGTATGAAACTATGGTTTTAGTTCTTGTTATATTCCCTATGTCATTTAATTTAATTAATTACAGTTTTAGATATTTAAGTGGAAAAAGATTTCATATTTTGCTTATTTATTTATTCTTTTCAAGATCAAACAAATTGTATAGATCAATCGACCTGTTTTTGTTACAGTTAATTATTTATAATACAGATGTATATAATACACGCATATATGTTTATTTTTAAGTACTGTATTCAATATAATAAATGGATGAATTTATTTATTTCGTTTACTGTTATTGCCAAATTAATATTAAATTGGTTTGGATATAATTATAAAGTATATGTGTGATGATATTGTTATGTTGTCACTCATTATCATAAACTTAATTTTTTAATTCAATGTTACAAAAACTATTTATAAGAGATTTTTATGGGCATTTACTCTGAAGTATTATCTGAAAAGATATACATTAATAATGTAATATTGGTCATTAAAGTATAATGAATTTAACAAATGTCAATATGTTAATACCTCTTGATAAAAAAAATTATATATCGAATTCTTAAATAATTAGTTCAACATTTAATAAGTACATTTTTTTTCAGACTAAGTATTGCAAATTGTTTTCTTACAAATTAGCCTAAAAATATGTTTTATAATACCATGTAGTCATTTGTACATTTTTATTGACATTTTTATTTTAAACATATATTTATGAGTCATTTATTTATAATTCTAACAAAATTTCCCTTTCAGTTCTCACCGCATTTTTTTTATGATTATTACTATACTGTTGTTATTATTTTTTTTTTCGAAACTTTTAATCCCGTACTCGCATTTTATAATAATAACGATACTAACGAGATATGGCCTCTGGGGGGAAAATATGAAAGAATAACCGCCACTTACCGTGCGGTTTCGAGTGCATTGCGAAAATCTAATGATCCGCGGCAACAAGTTGCCCGGCGGCTTCGACGCTGTTGCCGCGTGTCCGCACGCCGCCCGAAGACGTTAGCTTTTAATATTTTTCTCCCCTAAATACACGTGCATCGTACACGTGTCCATTAGTTTTTGCAACCCACTTCAGCCATTCGATGACTATAAGAAATTTGTCATGGGTCACGATGACGAAATTTTCACATCACCGATTGTAATTTGTTCACACTATTATAATGTTAGTATGTTAGTACTTATATTTATATGCCCATTCTACTTGTGTATTATTATGTTGTTTTTTTATTTTTTATTTAGACTCAATAGTATGCACACCATTTATCGTACATAGGTGTGCGTTTATTATTTATGTTAATTTCGGATGATATAACACAGAACTTACCCGAATACTCATTTAGGATAATTGAGCCGGTTTATAAATATAATATAAAAATGTGTCTGTTGCGCGCTCTACGTATTTATACGAAAACCCACTATTTCTCGTGTATAAAATATAGAGAATTAAACCATAAATCTCCTGGTCGTCGCGCCCTCCGAAGATTAATAGAGTGACAACATAAAGAGGTCTTGAAATTCTCTCCCTACTGGCTATTAGAGTAATTAATAACTGGCGGCCAGAAAAAGAGGGTTTAAAATACATACAGGGGGCATGGGGCAAATAGCCAAATATATACAATGAGTACCTACTTATATATGTCTTATGTGTCGAAAATTGTATCGAGGTCATAAATACGCAATAGGCTGACGAAAACACGCAAGTTAATTTAATTGCTGACCAATGTTTTTGGGTTCACAAACCACAGTTCAACTGTTTCAATATTATATTGGTCTATGTTATTGCTCATTATAAATATTTGTTTGTTTTTCTTACAGAACGATAAAGACGACGAAGACACTATTTCTATGACATCGGTAAGTGTAATAGAGTCATTTTTAATTTTCATGTTAACCGATTATTAATTTCTAACAGTTAGATCCCAAGACTAAAGAATGGGTCGTCAAATCAGCAAAATGTGACTATCAAGCTTTGGCGAAACTGGCATCTGAAAATCCTCGAATTGCAAAGTTCAAGGTAAGATTTTATTTATTATTATAACCTATGAGCAACTAAGTGTATTATTCTAAGAAACAGATTCAGAAATGTATTAAAGAGAAGGGATAATATTATTATATCTGAATTTAAAAAAAATAGGTAGAATATGTATGAAAATTGTACCATTTGTACCTATATATTCATATAACGAACGTGCATTTATCTATTGGTTTCAAATGATGCGCATTATTTTTTGTTAAAAAAATCATTTTAAACATCTACAATACAATTTAAAACAAAAATAGGCATATACTATCTTCTTATTTTTATTGTATATTGAACACTTGTAATGTAAGCTATATTATATTTTTATTTTAATGAAAGAAAAAAAATTGTATTTGCTAATTAGATTATATTAAGTAGAAAGGTTATTTTTATTACTATTATATATTAATATAATATATTATGCAGGCATGTACAATGTACATTGTACATTTGTACAGTATATTCGGTTTACAGAAACGACCAAGTAACTTATTTCCTATTAAGATGCTTATTTATCCAATTTAATCTTTATAGAAACGTTTGATCATTATCGTGAATTTCTATTGTTTTTACGATTTTATTGATAAAAGAACAATGGAATTGTAATAGTTTGATATAGCGACTGATCAGTGATCATTATATGGATTCTAAAGTTTCAATTTACTATATAGCGAGATAGTAAATAATATTATATTGTATTACATTATCATCATATTATATTTTATAAATATTATGTATTTATTTGCGTGTGTAATAAGTTTTTATTCAAATAAAGAAACATAATCAGTGTAACTTACTTTGATTAAACATTAATAATTAGTTTCTTGTATATAATAGGTAATAGGTATACGAAGTTAGATTTTATTCTAAATTATATTTATTGTATTCAAACATTTAAGTATACAATTTTTATCATAATTTTGGTATCTTTATACTATAATAGTTTTGTACCATATACTATTTTGCATATTACCTATAAATTATTTCTAACGATTTAGACTGTTTAAACCTTATAGGTATTGGTATATAGCCCACCTACGTTTATTTTCATAATTGATGAAGTCTTCTAAAATTAATTGATTACAATGTATAATTGGATATTTTTATGATCCAATCTACTACACACACTCGGGGATCTATTTTTCATAGATTTATTACCTTAAATTATAACAATTTGATTTTTAAATTAAATATATTTATTTTTGACTGGTGAGCGTACATTTTCATGTCTTACTCATATAAATTGAACATTTCATACATTTTTAACTACAAAATAATCAACAAATTTTGTCAATATTTGAACTTTGTATGCTTAGAAAAAATCATCCTAATGTATCTTAAATATTTTTAAACATAATAACTTATAAGTAACCTTAACACCTTGTATAACATTTTCAAGCTTTTTGACTGGACCACATTTTTTTAATGATATATTTATAGAAAAAATCTAAAGTGTCTCATGTCTATAATTTATAAATACCTTTCCCAAAAAGTCAAAGTATTTTTAAAACTATACCATGTGCATAAAATTATAATATAGACATCTGCTAAAAATTATATAACCATGGTTAAATTTTTGAGTTACTCCAAATATAAGAAATCGATTTTGCAATAAATTCCTGTTTTCTCTTTTTTTTTGTTTTTTTGTTTCTTAAACTTACTAGAATTTTTTACTTTTAATCTCCTAAATTACCGACTGGATTTAATTTTCTACCAAAAATCTTCCTCAAAGCTTACAATTATGTTTACTGTCCCAAAATACGATAACGGACACACACAAAAAAAAACACTCATTAATATAAAATCTAAACATTCATCTCTCCGTTCAAATTCATAGACGAATAATGAATATAATATAATAAATATTAGAATCAAATTTAATTTAAATATACATATATGCTGAATATTCTGCTGTAAACTATTTAAAAATGATTAAATATTGAGATAAAGATAACAGAGACTTGTTTATTCGAATTAAAAATATGTGATTTTTATTTTTCATTTTTAGAGATTTATAATTTATGAATTCATAATGTCATGTGCTTTTACAATCACGAGTGTTATCAACATTTAAACTTGACAACGGTCGACAGGAATTGTATTTCTTTTCGAACTTAACCTTAGGACGTTCGCACAGCAATCGGATTATAAAGGGACTGGAAAAACTTGTCTTCGGGTTGGGTAGATATAAGCGATGAATATACATAGTGTATAATATGTATATGACGTGCAACAAATTTGATAATCAAAATCGTTGGCTTTGAATATGCAAATCCCAAAATGTAAATTGATCCTGACGGCCGGGACCTCGCTCCTCTTTGTGTGGCCGATAAACACACACACATACATACCCGTAGTAATTAAATCATCCCGAGGACACAGAGTTCTGTGGTGTGGTGAAAACAGTGTTAAAGAGGAAGAGGGGGGAATTGTCCCCTGCGATTAAAATGCCGGACCCGGGGATATTTTAATTAATGTCCGGGCCCGAAAACCGGGGGACCTGTGCCAAAAGGCGGGAATCTCTTGCCAACCGCCGCAAAACAAGTCTGCTGTCATCCCTCTGACTATAATATACAATACCTAACCCCCCTTGCCCATAGCTGTGCCCGCGGCCAATGTACTGTCGAATAATACCAACGGGTAGTACAGTTCGCGTGTATAATAATATTATTCGGCCTCCAGGATGCCTTCGGGACGTACATGGGTCTCAATTAATTCCACCGCCGTTGCTGGACACGGTTTTCCCAAATGCAACCATCACCGCTGCCACCGCCCGTCCACTAGTCCCTTCCAAACAAACCATCGATCCCATTGATTTTCACAATAAACTATACACGCCTCCTTCCGTCTCATCCGTTGTTCGCGAAATTAGGTGGCCAATCAGTCCATATATTCTGTATAATATGTTTATTATAATTAACTTTCGTATATAATGAATTGGTAAATAGTTCGCATATAATATATGTTCGCATGTTAAAACGTTTTTGAAATTCTATACATCTGACGTAATAGGGAATTAAGGGAGACAAGGGGTTAATTGAAACACAAATCTTGATTAACACTTCCTATTGATATAAACATTTTACCAAACTCGTTTGTTGTATGAAAATACCGCTAGAATATATTAATAATGCAATGCGGTGAATCTATACAAATATTCAATATAAATAATTTAATTCGACGATCACATCGACTTTTTAGATATGACAGGAAGTCAGGAAATTTAATCTCAAGTAAAATATCTATATTTTATGTATATTTTTATTCTTTAAAATTCTAGTTATTATGAATCATTTTTTAACTTGATAAATTATACTAGTATCATTTTATAATTAGTAAATCATGTATAATGTAATAAAACAAATTATATAAGTCTGAAATTCCCTCCTCGTATTATTGTAATCGAATTGTTACCATAAATAAAATATAACGAACCTATTAAGCTAATGGCCTGTGTCACCGAAGTTAAAGATCGATTAAAAAAAAAAATGATTACATACAAATAATTTTTTCAGATTAAAATCATCCAGTTTTAATTATAATTATAAAAACATTATTCTTTTCCACATTTTTAAATTATGTTTTGAATTTATTAGGCATCAAAAATACTATAGAGAGACTTAAATATTAAACTTATTATAAAATTATTTCGTAGGTGCATATAGTGCCTTTACATATTACGTATATTATTATGTGCCTGGTTATACAATATGTTTAATTTCGGTTTCTAGTTATGAGAAACAATTTGTGGGGTCTATATAATACGTTGTTTGTATATTAATGACTTAATAATGCTGTTGACTATTATGAGACATTAAAATGTTTTAATTACATGAAAATTTCAGGAATATAATATAATTAGTTAATATTTTTTTTGAATTTGCTTATAAGTTAAAGATATTTTGAGTGAAGTAAAGTACTAGTTGGATAAGTTAACAGATATTTAATTTATTTATTAGTAACTAGAAACTTCGTGCTCAGATGACTACATATACATAATTTTTTACTTGAAAAAAATTAATATATTATGACTTTAGACGTTTTATATAATTAAATTATAAAGCAGTTATACACCAGTGATCGTTTTATATTCATTTTTTTATTCTACCTTTGATAATTGTAAATTTTAATATCTATCAGTGTTTTCTTTGTAAACTTTTTAGTTTTTTACAAAAAAAATATTAAAAATAGGTTTAGTATATTTTAATAATTCTTGTTTAATAGTGAATACTAATTAAATCAACTACATTTAAAAATTAACATTATTTATGTTCTATTTCTCATTAAAATATTTATTTGTTGGGCGCTGACTAAATTTAATTTTAACCAATATGTTAAATCATTTTGTCGAACATTATTTTGTTAATCAAAATTGTAGTTCTAAGCCAATGAACAAATAATATTACTGTTACTTATATTGACCAAAAACACCCAATATTGTTTTGAAACATTAATAAGAATCTTACGTTATATTATTTATATAGGTGTATTTACTTTAAATTAATTCTGATTTATGTCTGTACATTTTAAAAATATACTTGAAAGTTACTAATTTGTTGAACTTATTATTGACCTAAAATAATGTGACCCTGCAAGTCAAAAAATTCAGCAATGACTATAGAATTATTCATGAATAATGGTTCGTTGGTAAAGGCCCCCTTGGGTTTAGGTTAAAATTTAAAAGTCCATATAAGTCGGTTATATTTTACAAATTGTTTGGTTATGTGTAGACACAAATACAATTTTAATATTCATGTTAATGATATTTATTAACTTTCGAGTTACGTTAAATTTATTTATATTATATTTAAGCTAAGTAATCTGCTATTAAATATTAAGATATCATTAAAGATTAAATAACGTTTTTAATTTGTCGTTAATATATACATGTAAAATAGAAATAAGACGTATATTTATATATATTTTTAAATCTCGAAATTTCTGATACTTGATTTATCTCATTAATTAGTCTTACCAATAAGTACATCAATTAA